GACAACACTTGTTTACACTTGCGTTGTAAGTTTTAACACTGACGAAATCATCCACTATTTCTTAACACTGGGCGTACTTGTTCCGTAAAACACACAAGTATGCAGTTATTGAGAGTATCCTCTCATTTAATATATCAGAACGCTGTAGGGAAAATGTGCAGGTACAGCTTTACGATACTAATTTTCTCGAGCTCAGCCCATAATGGAAACCACTCTTAAGGTTTTCGAAGATATGAAATCCGACAAATTATGGCTAAGATTTTTTTTTTAAATCACAGGTAGATTCATGAAAAAGTACAAGAAGAATAAGATCTAGCGTTCTTGAAGAGTAAACGTCACCCGTCATGTATATCCAAGTTAATAATATCACGTTTCTCAAATAAGAACCATGTTAACATCAACGAAACTGTAATGCTTCTATGGTGATTAAGTAATTTCAGGAACTTTTATTGTGATTATGTATATTCGTTATATAACGTCTACCAGTAAAGTTCATTACACGGTTTTTGAGCTACAAGGAGAGTCTTTACACTGAGGGAGAAATAAAGCCCAGCCGACAGGAAATGACTCCATGCATTTTCGATGGTTACACTCGCAACCACTCTCTGCACCCCTGTCTCGTGTCCTGGCAATTTTTAAGGTTCAGTGTGCGACACCTTGTGGGTTAGACAAGAAGACTAGTTTGATTCTTTGATGTACGTCAAATAAATCTCAACAGTATGTTGTAATGGCTTTGAAGTTTGGTGTCGCTCTTCGATTGGTCATTGTTTTTTCTCCTGAAGCACACCCTAGATCTATTTAACTGCTTCGATTGTGTCCTTAATTTTCCCACGAAATGATCTAGGATACAGAGAGTAAACGTAATTGTAACTCCTGGTGTATCTAGAATGGACATTCTACATTCTGTGTGTCATATTTTTTCAAGTTTTCGCTTTAAATTTTAACGCATTCTCTGACATATTACTTCACGATAAACTTAGGAATGTGAGTTGTGTGTGTTTTGCATGAAAGTCATTCAAATGTAATTTTCGCATGAATGATAATGTCATACAAGACAAGAATAAGCGATAAAAAGACGACATTGATAAAGGTTTGTTGTTTTACTGTAACAATGATCATGTTTTAGGATTGTTTTCACATAAAGTGTAATGTCTGTATGTGTAGTATTGTTGATTTATTGAATAAAATGTTGTTTACGATAAGCTTTTGAATGGGCATAAATACATTGTTGTATTGGTGACATTTCAGTATCGAGAAGATGATAACACAATAATGATCTGGCGATATGGACGGACGGCGAGACGGACGGACCGACCAGCAACCTTCCAACGTCATGTCGGTCTGGATGCTTCGTCATTGTTGAGGTTGGTTGCTTCCCCAATAAACAACATAGTGGAGGCCCGCCACATGCCATTCAGAGCAATAACTGTGAAGTATTTTACCCAAGGAAACATCCATCTCCGAACAGACCGGTCCGTATTCTCGGCTTCCTGAGTGATACACCACGTGTAGTGAGAGTCGAACCATGGACCTCTGAGAACTTCACCTGAAGTTACAGATGTCGTCTGATCTGTATCGCGAATCCATCACAGAAATACCGGTAACACGATAATGAATTGATGATATCGCAGTGCTATCTCACGAATTAATTTAGTGATATAATCATTTCATCAGTTTGGCGTCATCGATTTTCCAAAGGAATATTTTGGGATCTTCTTTAAAATCCTTTCATACTTTCAATGATTGCCCTTCAAAACACCCGTCGGGTCACTACACCTATGAATATTTCATTGATATTGCTACAATAACGGTTGACAACTTTATGTACAAAATAAATCTCCAACACGCTCATCATTAATGGGATTATATTCGTACAATGAATAGGTAACATATCTGTTTTATTTTCAATGAAGATAACAGGTGTCCCACTCCATACAAATCAATACTGATATTTTTACCAATAGAATGACGGAAATCAGCTCGCAAAAATATTTATAAAATCGCTGCAAAAAAAAAAAAAAAATTAGAAAAAAATTGATCCCTGTTAGTCTATATAACGGTTATAAACATTGATAAGTTCTTAAGCATTTTCAATCAATAAATTCTGCTTATAGGATTGAATTCAAACCTAACCCCTTGGCGTGGTTGGGAATATCTGGTTTAGATCACTCTTTGGTTAACGGCGGTGATCTTTATGGGATTAGTCACGTTGTCGTTGTAACGTGAAAAAAAAATTGTAGACATTGTGACCATTTGTAATCCTGGAGTTATAGATTCTAAAGTGCAGTTTATTGTTAAGCTAGTGTATCGTTAACACGCCTATTTAGGAATAATTTCTCTGAAATATTCAAGCTTGTGGCTGTCCGAGAATACATATCGTTAATAACACTATTATCAGTAAGCATCTCAGACACATCGTTTCATAGGAATCGTAACCATATGTAGCATAATCTTACACTAACACAATTTCCAAACTTTTAATTACAGTTACTGTCACGTGATTAGGTTCATAAGCGAGTAATTAAATTAATTAATTAATGGTCTTTAACTTAAAAGCAATATAATTGTTTTATTATCCTACTTACGGTAGTTGTAATATAACATATCATTACGTTACGGCTGACAGCCTTTGGTATATATGCATTATAATTGAATAATCATAAATTGTGTAACTAGATCTTTTCATCGAGGTATTAAAATACTTTTTTACGATCAAGGAGCCATTCTTACTTCCTAATGATAGATGGTGTACTTACATCTTTTCATCGAGGTGAATTTGTTTTTACGTTGCAGGAGCCGTCCTCTTTTACTAATTATAACTTACGTAGACACATCTTTTCATTGAGTTTTAAAGATATTTTGTTTACGTTCCAGAAACCATCTTTACTTACTAATTATAAAATTGTATAATTATATTAATTTTTTTCATCAAGGTTTAAAAATAATTTTTACGTTCCTGAAACCGTCCTCCAATAACCAAAATTGTTCAAACCTTTATTGTCACATCAACCTCTTATTTGTGTTATAAACACATTATTTGTAATTTAATGTAACATATACTAAATTTTCTGATTAATTTATGCCTCATTCACCTGATACTGGAATATAGTCCATTAAGATCAGAAAATGTAAACAATTTTTTGTTTTTTTTTTTTTTTTTTTTTTTTTTGTAAAATTCATTGGGAGCCTGAAGTTGGGTCCTATGCTTTAGGTCCATTTAACAAAAAAGTACAGAAACAGGTTGTTCTCTTTAACGTCAACGTTTCCATAAACGATAGGAAGGTTTTGTTCTAAGGCACGATGGCGAGTCCATTTTGACAATTTATTGAATCATGTATAAAAACAACAAATCATTTTATTGAATGTTTTAACACTATCCATCACCTACACTACGCTTTACATACTTTGACATATTGTTTCGTCATCATTTTTACTCTAGTTGTACAATACGTGATGTTTATTGTTTTCGCTTTGTTTCCTATGAAATCCGAAAGGAAACTGATTTTTATCTCTGAACTTAACACAAAAAAAACGTGATTTTCCTGTGTCGCTGCAACATAGGACGTTAAATAAAACTAACTTTGCTGAATGTTTTACGACAAAATAAAATAACTCCCCTATCAGCAAATAAGAGAGGCAATTTTTGTAAAATTTCGCATAACAATCAGCTTCTAAAAAGAAAAAGACATATGCTGCGTCAGCAAAGTGTGATTACAGAAACTTTGAAGGTCACTTTTAGCTTTGGTGATGAGAAAGAGCATACAATAAGGAAATGAAGTGATAATTTTCCAGGCTACAAATGACAACGTTACAATAATACTATCCACCGTTCACACATACAACACGAGCAGTGCTTAAAGAGTGTTATATACACTTGTATTACTCATATATTTAAAATAGAGATGTAACTCCGGTTTACTGAAGCAAATTAAAGTTATGTCTGGATTTCTTTCTAACTTTCTTTCCTTTAATAGCAGCGACAAAAGGTTTGCTCGAATGATTCTTTCGGTGAGAATGACGCATACCGAAACGTATGGCATACTTCCTCTAATTAACTCTATTGTGGTTTGTGAAAGTAAATGTGAGTTGTTTCTAGTTTCGCATTTTTTTCTGCAGAGAAAGATGTTTATGTGGTTAAAATCACATAAATCTGTTTAATATTTAAGAAACCATTTCAGTGTCGTCGATAGTATAATTGAATTGGTTGGCAGCTACACATTGAATAAACTAGACATCAGGACATAAAATCGATTTTAATCTGCAGATTCTAGTTCATAAAAGATGTAGAGCAACACTACTAATGCCGAATATGTTACTTTTTAATATATCGACAAGCAAACGATAGGGCGCTGTCACTGCTGCGGTTCTGATCACATGCATCTCTTAGCACTATCGTCATCAATCATTCTCCAATTTCTATAATTGAACAGTTTCATCTGCTTGAACGTGCGTCTGATGAAAACAAGGAATAACAAAGTATATCAACTGTTAGAAACATTTTCAACACTTCAGGTGATAATCAATACACTTCGGGTGATAAACAAATTACTTCCGGTGATAATCCAATCACTTCCGGTGATAATCCAATCACTTTCTGATACTAATCAAATCACTTCCGAAAAATAATCAGGTCACTTCCGGTATTAATCAAAGACAAAGTGCACAAAACGTCGTTATAGCGATCTAGCTCACATATGTCAAAAGGATGATATTTTGATTTTTGCCATGATTCATAAGCGATTTTTTAAAAAATATGATACCGACAGGGAAGACAACCCAATGCTTCTGTTGTAAAAGATGGATAAGTTTTCGTGATTTTTAATTGTCTCAACGATGTCCACAGTCAATGTTGGACTTACACGATGCTATGGTAGGTTCCCGCGTTTTCCTATTGAATCGTCAAGTAACAAATATTAACCAATGGTGGATCCCAGAGATCGCTCGGCCAATCGCGGACTTACATGATGTTGTGGTAGGTCCCGGCATTTTTTTCTCTCTTGTTACGGTTGTTGAGCAGAAACAGACATTACCGCGTTGCCATCGTTACAACGGAGATTGAATGTCTGCACGTCCTCGTGCGTGAACTCATTTCTAATCGATGCGTTTCTGTCTGTTAATAAGGAACACTTCCGCATGGAATCTGTGATAAGTTCGGTACCAAGTGATGACTTTCTCTCAGTTGACATAGTACACATCATCCGTAACAGTGTTCTACGGAATTCACGGTTCATTGAACAGTACAGGATAAAATTTACACCATTGTTTACCAACGCCAAAATATCCATGACGTCACCCAAAGGGATGTAGACGTCTTCAAAGAACTCCGCGCGGATGAGGCTGAGGACGATGAGGATGCCTTGTGGTAACTCTGTGAGGAGAAACAGAACCAACACTGCCAGAAGCATCACCGTTGTACGAGAAGTGTGTAATGGACGTTGAATGATAACCCCTAGCTTTGATAACCGTCGGCGTTTTATTCGCACTTGCATATCAAGTGTTCGTAATAATAAGGCACCATATACAAGCATGAGGAAACAAGGTATAAACTTAGCAACAACACTGTATAAAGACAGGTTCAAGAAAACCACTGGTTTCACATTAGGCGTTCCGAGCTTCAGATCCTCCAAAACGTACATTGACGAATTTTCCCGCCATATTTCTAAGTTTGTTGACATGTAGTTTGGAATCAAAAGCAAAACAGATCCTGTAATGATTCCAAATATCACAATTCGTGACTTAATCAAGCGTCTCATGCGAGCGAAATTTCCCGTCTCTGGAGACTGAATATGATGGTATCTAAATATAGCAAGGGAAACCCCTAACCAAATCGAGATTGTATGTGACGTCGCTGAGAAATTCACATGAAATAATAGATAAGTCATCCAGGCGATGCTGTTTTTATCCGGAGAAATAGAGTTTGATGGGTAGTCACAGTAGAAATGGATGGCAAACGGAACGTATGAAGCCATGGTCAGCAAATCAGACACTGCCATCCAAGTCAAAACGAGGTTGATCGGAGTTTGCATATGCTTCCGGGTCAGAACTGTGATGTTTATGAAATTTGTAGGAATTCCGAAGAAACAAACAATCAAACTTAAGTAGCCATGTATACCGCCATACCAGGAGCTGAATTGTTCCAAGGTACTTTTGGGATGAAATCCAGAACGTGTTTCATTTTCCATTAAAACTGTAATGTTCAACATGTCCGCCATTTTGATTTATAATACTCACAACCTTACACATAAAAATGTACGTATTCGTTAAACTGATCTATACTTATTTCTATAACTAGATATTTTGAGAATCGTTTCAACTAAAACCGATTAAAACCAATGAAAACGTCTCGTACTGCAAATAGCCTTTAATGAGCATTAACTTACTTCGTGAAACATCCTTAAATAAAGTGGTTTTAAAAAGGTCACCGTATTATTATACGGATTAAGAATGACTGGTCCTAAATGTAACTGGCGGATATATCTTCCTTTTAAAGCAGTACCTATATATCCTTGCAGACTGATTGCTCTACTCGATTCGAAACAGATGAAATGTCGAGCGAATTCTCCGCTGTTTTACTCTCGTTGTGTTAAAGCTATATTTACGCTGTCTACTATTAGGTGATCGATTTTCACCCTTTCTCTCTCTCTCTCTGATGGAACCAATTCGTGTCGACTCTGTCACGTGTTTGGTGGAATAATGTTTCCAGCCTTAATTGTGTAACCTGGGTATTATCACGTTAACTCTGGCCCCTGTGGTAAACAGTCGTGTTAACGGGCCTCGAGATCATCATCCGGAATTTGTGTACTGCTTCCCTTACTGATTTTATATTATCCCCGAGGAGTTCCGGAAACCTTACACTCCGACCTGGTACGGTATATTAGATAGTGACGTGCAGAATAGAAGTATTCGATACCAGTTCAGTTAATTATTTCATTAATACTGAATCCTTTTTGTAAGAATGCTTGAAGCAGATTGAATAAGTCCTGGTCAATATTGCTATCCTTCTATTTATCTAAAATAACTCCATCTTAGATATCAGTTCATTACATAGTCACAAGTTTAAACTTTTGGTGCTGAGGTCGTTCATCAAAACAAGACTTTGTGATTCCGTTCAGATTTTTGTGTGAATGATACACTATATATTCATCACGTAAAAGCCATTTTATCTCCGTGACTTCCTTCCCGTCCAACACTGATCTTATATTTGCAAAACGTTCGGCAATCGGGTTTTTGAGTTAGTCGTAACACGTACAATTTAATAACGCCAGTATATCTCTTGCCAAAGTCTAAAACTACCAAAATACATCATCTGAACTCACAAGTGAGAAACACAGGTGTCTTCTTTCAAGAGTGACAAAAACAAGTCAAATACGCTAAAATTTCGTGACTATTTTCCTGTCCTCGTATAGTCTAACAACACCACGCAGTACTCTATAATTGTATGAAACACTGATGTTTATACGAAGAACTGCCATTAAAGTCCTTTATCATGAAATTCAGCAACGTGCTTTTACACGTGAAAAAAACTGCCACGTGGATTGTGCACATGGATCAGACAACACGTTAGGATATAGCCTCCTGTGTTTGTTTTCACGTGCAAGTCCTCGCTGCTACAACACCTGACTGTCGCCCAATGAGCAATACGCTGTGCTGAGCCTACACGTGATTTGCTGTCACACAGCTCTCTCTCTCTCTACACTCGGTATAAGTAGGCCTATCACCGCTTCCCGTGAGTTAAGGCATTACTCTGAAACACAAAGCATTCATTGTAATTGAAAGAGACAGGTTCTAAACTTAAAATATTTTTGCCAAAAGAAAAGTGCATGATTTAGAGTTTGTTAATTACAATCCAACTATTAGAAACGGGAAATATCTTATATTTTTTAATTTTGTTTCTGAATGCTAATGGGCTTTGGTTGCCTAATAATTGAAATGGCTGCTTGTTATATGTAACAGATGAGTGTTTTTATCTCTGAACACTGGCAAATGAAAGTGAAAATTGGTTTTAAATTGCTGCCTTCGCACAATAAACAGTGTATAAGATTTACGGTACTTCAGACATCGTTTCCTCAGTATGTATTTCTATCAGTAACATACATAACAATTTAATCGATTTAAAGAAATTAAAACAATCTCACAGAAAGAGGTCTGAGATAAACCTCTCCTCTTTGCGCTGTCGTTTAGCTTTTGAAATTCTTACAGGTTCAGTCGTGAAACATAGATTCATATCGAGAAGAACGATTCTTTATATTTCAAACACCATAGAATGTTTTAAAAAGTTAAAGTCGTTTATTATCATTCAAAGAATGCTGACCCAACGTTGGTTCGTCAGATATTATTCAAAATACATTTCATTTTCCACATGATATTGTGTACACACTAAATAATACGGCAGCATTATTGTGGAAAATATCTACGACTGCGCATTGCTTTGTTGATTCTTTTCGCAACATTATCATAAATCCTGAAGCAATTCTTTTTCGGATGTCAGAAAACGAACTTTTCGTGTAATTTTCAAGTGAGTTACTTTTTCGTGACTCATTCATCTTTTAAATATCACGAAAACTGAGAAAAAAAACAAAAACAAATAACTCAACTTCCATCGTATGTCATAATGTGTGGTTACTAATTTAGAATTCTAGAATATCGTACTCACGTCAATAACACATTTTAAACCAAAGGAGTAGATGCACTTTGGCTCAAAATTGGCCTCAAAAAATCTTTTTTTTAATTGTTAGAAAATTCTTTAATCATGTACCCATTTGTGTTATTTAACAACTTATCAGTTGAAATGCAGATAAAAATAGGTTCATAACGCGTGTGATGACGTCACAAATTTCGCGGGAAAACGTCACGTTTACAAAAAGTCACGATTTTTTTCGATATTTTATGACTTTGAACGAAAAATTAACTACCTCCCCAAGGGTGTACCAATTTTATATTTATCAATGAGAACAATTTCCACATTATGTTTGCGATGCTCAAATATTTTTTTGGTACATGCCTGGGGAGGTATTTAAAATAACAAATATCTTCTGAATTTGTAACCACATTTCACGATTTTGGTGAGATTTTGACGTTGCCCAGCGTAACGTTAGCGTCGAGACCGACTACAAGATTGCGGAAGTAAATGGATGCTGAAATAAAAGACAAAAACATGAAAAATGACTTGACTTATGTTTGTTAATAAAATTAGATAATAATAATGAAAAAAAAATGTATTTTGAAAGATGACAAAAATATCCATGGTAACAACTCCTAGATTTTGCAATCTCCTAGGCCCGAGTCTAATGCGCTACATTGTACGTTAGTCTAAACTCGCACAGAAGATCTTGCAAGTTTCAGCCTACATTTGAAGTATGTATACGTAGAAGAGCTGTCAACACATCTGCACATCTTGTAGAAGTTGTCTACTTCTTTAACAGGTATGTAACAATATTATGTAGAAGACATCCATGTTGTGTATTCGCGACATTGTCGCGATTTGTTTACGTTTGTGCATATGAGCAGACGTCAGATCTGACTTCGAAAAAATAGTCATTGTAGATATTGCTAGTGTTTTGATAAGTATGCAGTAAGTAAAAATACAATAACAAGTATAAAAAATAAAATAAAACCTTTTCTTTTTTTGTTTGTAAACGGTATTTTCCATAATAACGTTGTCTGAGTCTGCGTCTAAAAATAGAATTTTGCAACCAAACAAAATGCAGGGATTTATCGTCAGAAAAAACATAATGGCAAAACTGTATTTGCTACAGTGTTGTTTTCAAAACATACACTAACATATAAAAATGAGAAAGTGTTCCTATATACGAGATATAAACTAAAGTGTCAATTCACACACCCATAATAAAATCAGTGTACATCCGAAGTGTGTTGGTTTTGATTTATATTACTAACAAAATCTCCTGTGTGACGTAATCAGCCGCTGTAGTGTAATGGTGAAGGTGCGATGCTCTGGAGATGTAGATTTGCCGTGTCGAGTTCAAATCGCGGGCACACACCAATATTATTTTTTATTCTTATTTTTTTTCTATAACTTTCACCTCAATTATTCTCGATTTTAATAGTTATATTCATCAATAATGTACTGATAGAATTAATAATTATAAATATTAGAATATTATCAGGACGTTATATCATGTTGCTACATGTATTTTTCCATATAAATATCCTTGCATTCTAATACAAACAATTATATTTGCATCGATAGTCTTGGTGTTACAAATATTTCTTTTGGAGATATTGTAACTCTTACATCGCGTTAGATGTCATTTTGCTGAATTGTTATCGACTTGGGGTAGTTTTTTTTCTATATATATTTTTTGCGTCGGACTTACTTTTGCTAGCATCAAATAATCAGCATATACGTGCAGAAACTAAAGTGTTAATTCTTATGGGCTAGGGTATAATTTCTCTCATTTATACTATTGTAAAATTAATACGATGAAAAATCTTACCATGTATATTTTCTTTTGAAGAATCCCAGTAACATAACGATCCTGAGGACCTGAATTCAAATATTTTCATGGATACATTTGATTCAGAAATTAAACGTAAGTCTTCTGCTTTGTAAGTTTCGTCAGCACAATGAATCGAACATTATTATATTGTGGCTATTTGATATTTTTGACCTAGCTTCATTTTTGGCTGCAGTTAGTTTATTGGCTTGTATATTTCGGAGAACTCTTGTTATAATGGCACATCCCTGAATAACTAAATGAAGTATATACATGTACATGCTTACATGTATATATAAACGTGTTTATATGCTCCAGATATACTGTATAGCCAGTATCAATGCTACATGTACTGTTACCAAAAACAAATTACGGGAAACATACGAAACACTGGCTTGATATATATTTTTTTTAAAACAGATTGACACTGGCATAATATACATTAGCTACTCTTTAAAATAAAGTTTTGTAAAAATCAGATTTTTCACCGAACTTAAGATTTAATAGATTATTTATTTTCATTATTTTCATTCTTTAAGGTTTACTAGTGATGTAATAGGAGACAGAGAGTAGCGAGAAAATGCCTGGAGATTCTTGAAGTTACATGTAAGTGTTTTAGGAAGTTCCTGAATTAATCTTATTTCTATGCTTCAAATTGTTAAGTAACAGAAATCTGAAATACTTGGAGGAGAATTCTCTCATTATCATGTTTATTTCCGTTTCAACTACAATATTTTATTTAAAAAAAGGTGACT